AAAAAAAAATGATAAGTATTTGTTATTAATCCAAAACCAGGTTATTCACATTTCCAATAATCAACAGAAGAATTTATGTCACACATGTAAAAGTTCTTCGGGACTTCCTATTGCAAACTCAGTTCACAGGGATCCAACAGGCAAGCTCCTACTAGATCAGATCCTGTGGTCCCGCTACATGCCTTTTGCACTGAACATTTATACAACCTTATGACACTGACCAATCAATTGAGAGTCTTCTATTCATTTAGAAATTATCTACTAATTCTTGAACGCACAAGACAGGCAGAACCTTTGGGCGGTATAAACGCGGAAAGGTCTACAGTAATTGTATTAACCAGTAAAAGAATAGCTTCCCCACCACCTTCCCCAGACCAACCTCCACTGCAAGGTCTTTGTAAGTATATTGAATTTGAAAGAGATTCAAAATTATAGAATAGAGGGATTAAACATTTGAAAGAAGGAAAGCTTACATGAATGACCAGAACAGGACAATTCACCGCACAAATCTTGTCAACATTCTGAAAATAAATTGGAATAACAAAATCGGATGTTATATGTGGAGATGGAAAAATAATTACTGATAACCATTGAGAGTATTTCACCTTGTAAATGTCAAACCAATATGTCCGCTTGACAGGGTACAAAACTCTTACACCGGACAATATTGGACTATGTAAGACAACAGCTCGTAAATTGGGTACTCGTGATGCAAGATCAATGGTTGGGCCACTGCCGACAGATTGACCATAGAGTATTAGCTGTTCATCTTTGACCCCATATTGCTCCTTTAGGCATTTATATACTGCATCAATGTCCGCGTACGTATTACATTCAGATGGCTGCTTCAGAGAAAGGATAATTTCATCATATATTTAAACAGTGGTCAGCAAACAAGAGAATAGACTCATATGAAACCCGCGCGATTTCCCAGTAAAGGCAATGAATGAGAAATGCAAGACTTCAAACTGAAACTTTCTTATATATCTGTGCAAGGTCTCTTACAAATTTGTTAATGACATTAAGCCAAAAAATTACATAAAGAAAAAAAAAACAAGTTTTAATGCCCAAAACAACATTTTAATGAAAGTTTCACATGCCCAAATCACCTAGATGGTTGCCAGCATCTAGAAACAGAAATGGGGTAAAAAGCAAAGAATTTATTCAGGTTTGGAACCCATGAATAAATTTTAAGAATGTACAACCCAAATTGGTGAAACCACAATGGCCTTAGCTCTTCCACCATCATCTGAACTTTGGTAAGGCATAAGTCTTTCACCTTATCATTTGATATAGATGGTAAGCAATATTAATATCCCCTCAAAAAAATACTTAATGGGCAACAAAAAGTTTACTGAAAGGTCTACCGAAATCTGGTAAGAAAATCAAGACATCTGATACGTTTTGCAACATATCACACACGACAGAGGCACTGGTAAGCACAGAAGAAGATGCAAAAAACAGAAGAATATTTCACTCATATATGGGTAATGGATTTAATGAAGAGGGTTAGGCCTAAAAGATTTTCTAGAAACGGATTGTCATGGAAGTTTCACTAAATGATACATCATTGTCATTGTACAAATGGGGTAAGAGAACTCTTCCCTGAGAATTTCAAAAAAGTACGTTAAAGCGTTTAAGAGTTGATTGACAGCCAATGTCAAACAGCTTCTGTAATAGAGCAGTTACTGGTCAGAGATTAGTCATTAGAGAGAGGGTTACTGACTAAACACAAGTCCATTGCCAATACTACTCCTTGCGCATTCCTTTCGAGGAACAAAGGAGGAGACTTTTACCCTTTTAAGACAACAAAACTAGCAGTTAAGCACAAAAAGTGCATTGCAGGGTCCAGATGATTTCACAGGCCCAACTACGTAAACTAATTTGGTAAGAAGGTGCTTCAACTTGTGGTTGTTATGACAAAGGAGAAACTAAGCTAAAGGTT